GATCATTTTGTAAATTTTTGGCTTTAAAAAACGTCCTATTTGCTCGGCCTGAGAGTTAATGAGCTACGTGGTCACGTGGTCCGATGACGACATTCGAGCCACTGGAGAACAGAGCGTGCTTAGCTGTCAAACTGAGCTGCATTGTCTACCTGTAAGATGACTTCTCTGGCTTCTGATAAAAGTTAATACTCATTCAAATCTCTTACCCGAGGGATCTAAATCCTCATGAAGCTGTGTAAAACCATTATCGTCTAGTCAATTCTTTAACGAGGATTTAATTATGGTTANGAACGTTTATAATATGGATGCTTTTATTCGTTCTTCAGCTGATAACATCGATAATTGTCTCTTAAATGTATTTCGACCTTTGAATAAAAAAATTAAAAACATTTTTTTTATGTTCCTTAACAAGTTAGCCTACAGATACATATAGTCAAGTGACCACACTTTCATTGGAAAATAGAGAATTTAAGTAAGCAAACGAAGAAGACAACATATCGGAACAAATTTATGAAAATTAATGTGTACATTTACTACCGTACGAACGTCACTTTTATCTGACACATCTAAAATAAATCATAAAAACACCCTAAAAACTTTTTAATTAGAGCTCTGTCTAAGGTCAAGTGAGGAAAAGACTTATCAAGGTATTCACTTACAGTGTAATTATAATGTAATTATAATGATTGAGTAATACCTTTTGTTAGCTACTACGCTCAGTGAAAACCCCTTGTTACACCTTGCGCCCCATTCTATATTGAACATATATTTACATATAAAGGGACAACATCATGCGTTTAGCGTCATAACTATTGTTGCGGGCTCATGCTTTAGAAACTCTCGGCTCTGTATTGATCGCGTATTAGCACTGACGCAGAGGTGGCAACCATATTGGCGACACACACGAATACGGGGGGAAGGAGCATTTATAATTAACCATCTCTCAGAAATATTAGCGGATTCGTTACACCATTTATGAGTATTTTTTGCAACATTTCAAGAGGATCTCACCTTTAACTGTGACGGTGTAATCAATCTTAACAAAGGCTGCTCGAATACGGATACAGGGTAACTGGGTACAACCAGGCATCAAATTCAGTGGTGACATTTCTATGTAGCGGGTATAACAGGTGAGATTCATATTTTCTAAGCGGGCGAAGACGGATAGGGGTATCTTAAGTTTGCATGGTAGGCTTGTTCAGACTTTCTTCATCTACTGGTAGACCACAGGTAGATAGAACCATGCCATTATGACCACAAAAGACGGTAACTAAATGCCTGAAATTGGTAGTATTGATCGAGAGCTATGTGGCTAGAGTAGGAGTCATGTTTGAAAGAATTCGCGGATGCTAGTAACTACACGAGAGCCGTCACTTAGATTCAGTGGGTAGGTACAACTGACTTCTATTTAGTCAAGACTGGGACCCACATCGAACTAACTGGATAGAGCTCACTTGTGCCTAGGCCTGTACCGGGTAGGTATACATTTGGGGAAATTTTGATGATTATAGTTACGGTTTCTGAGCCTTTTTTTTTCAGTTTCTTCTAAGACTAACTTCACCATTAGTCTGCATAACGGCATGAGGTAGGGGAACCATATCTTCAATATGTGCCTATACTTGAATTCTGTATACTATTTGAGAGGGTAAATGAGCAAAAAAGATACTAATAGCCTCTAGTGTCTTCCGTAGGAGGTAGGATGGCTTGAATTCAAGGATCTTGGTTGAAATTCAGGCTGGTCGTAAGCTAAAGGTGTGAAAATATTTCAGCTTATGTTTTATAATAATCATATATGATACCCGGTAGTTTAGAGACCATTCTCTGACGACAGGTTAGCAAGTAGTCTGTACTCAATTAGTATATCATATTCTTCAGCTTTGCATACTAGTTCAGATGCCCTTGTGATATAAGAGAGTATACCGGACTCAGCCTAAACTTGATTTTTTTTAATACTATTTTTGAGGCCTCTGTCATCAATGGGTGGGGCGTAATCTGTATTAAGTAAACGACAAGATGTCCAGTCCATGCACTGTAGCGGAACAGTAGATAAAACTGTTCACCGTTTCACTCGTTTATAGGCCATAAAATTATTTGAGCAGAGATATTACGGGACTGATATGTGCGTGAATATTCCTGTCTGTGATGATAAAAAATTGCTTCAAGCTGTACCGTGGAATATTAGGAAAACTCTAACTCAGTGGTTCCCATAGACCCCATTCAGAATAGGGGACTAAATAGTCCGAGGGTCAAATATGGCTGCCCCTGACGTCCCGAGCTACCACCCCGTATGAAATGTGTTCTAATACAAAATAATAATAATAATAATAATAATAATAATAATAATAATAATAATAATAAAAATCGTGGTCAGTGCTAGTCTGTCAAAGCCCTATGTCTCGTCTGCAATTGTCCCACATCCGTGTCTCATAAGGCATCCCCCAGTTGAAATTTAATTCCAATAACAAACGCCCTACCTCTAGCGCAGTTTTATAAACCTAAAAAATGAACTAAACAATATCTGTTGGCATTGTAGACGGAGTAAGGCAAGGTCACGGCGGGCGTGTCCCTCTCCTTTCTAGCTTCTGAGGTCACCCCTTTTCCGTCACCTGGCATAACAAAAAGCAAAGCAAGCGAAGATGATAGCAAGCAATTTTTACACATTTAGGCCCCACATACTATGTTAACTTTGTCCTCCCTCTCCTGCTTTATATTTAGTCCCGCGAAGGGAGCGAAGAGATTTCTTTTAAAGAGAGAATTTTTTTTTGCCAAAGACTGACCTGCTGGCTTAGGAAAAGTTACATGTACGCACATACAAGTTAATCAAAATTTGAAATCATGTGATAGTAGAGAATTTGACTTGGAAGAGAGCCCTCTGACTCCTGAGAAACAGCTGTTGTAGCTAGGCTTAGAACTTCATCGGGTAGCATATAGACAGCGCTTAGTATAACCATATATATATATATATATATATATATATATATATATATATATATATATATATATATATATATATATATATATATATATATTAAAAAAATAAAAAAACGTATATGTCCTTTCTGTAAAGTGAGAGTAGATAAGCTACATTTAATATACAGCTGAGGTGCCACATTTATATACAATATACTTTAATTCATCCTTATGCATCAAGTAGGACTGATGGAAATATTAAAAAATAATAATAAACAAGATAGCACTATGACTGCGCTACGTGTACTTATATACAAATCTACTAAAACCACTTCACAATAAGTTGCTATATACAGATCATTTAGTGCTCCCATATATTACAAAGCGAGGGATGCAGCACTATTTCTTTATATACAAGGTACGGTCAGTCATAAAAAAAATATCCCCAACTTTCGTTACATAAGTGATCATGAGGAGTTGGTATTTTTAACAAAGGACAAGACCCAAACTCAATATAGAGGTGCATTTCACAAGCCGAAATTTCACAAGTCTGAAAATAAAATAAAATAAATAAATAAAATAAATAAATAAATAAAAAATACGAAAAATAAAAATGAAAGAATTTGAAGTTGTGTTTTAAAACATTTATGCGTACGGAACAAATCCTCATGTACTTTCTATTATGGTCTATCATAAATGTTCTAGTAAAAAACATAATTGTATGTTCTGGAACACATACATTTTATTTATTTATTTATTTATTTATTTATTTATTTATTTATTTGTATCGTGTTCCAAATACTGCTGAGTGATTCAGCGGTTGTAAATTATAGCTGGCTAAGGACGTCTTAATGAATATTTTAATTTTAACTCAGGTGGCTTTGCGTCATGGCTAAGGTAACGTATGTTCCCATGAAAAATATGTCAGACAAGGTTATACTTGTCCAAGCACTTACTGCAATAAGTTATGTTGTCAGCTGAATCATCTGTAGTGTGAAGCTTGACATTTATGACATAATTCTTTGCACCGCGCATAAACAAAGTTCAGTTAATGCTTCTTTGTCTGTCGGTATACCGCAATTTTCTTTATATGATATTCAGTGACCGACATACTAAAAGCGTACATAAAAATTCATCGCTCTATACAGAAGATTATCATGTTTTTTACAACGTTATGCATGAAGGACATAGATTAAAAAAACAAAACCAGGGCTGTTCGAATTTTCAAAGTGAGTAAAACACTTCCGGATCTGAAAGTGTTCCATTTGTGACTGTAACGTGTTTCTTTTTAGGTTTTGATGGTGAATTATTTTTTATTATTCATGGTTCTAGTGCAGTGAAACTTTCATACGAACTTGTGCATGTAGGACCCTAAAATTATCAAACATAATTTCTAATCTGTACACTTAATATTTTTAAGAGCGTGCCTCTGACCTCATTTGCACCTCTTTATTGGATTTGGGTGATAAAAAGCCGTCCTTGAATATGGGTCGTTACGTAGCAGTATGTTTTCAAATTCGTGGTGATCCCTTGATGGTGCATAATTAGAATTTCTAACAATATATATTTTGAGCAAAAATGTCTATCAGCTTGGTAGTTGGATCATAAATGAAAATTATCAAACACAAGCCGAAATATTTTCAGCCCAGTTTGGCTGTAATCTAACGGTATGAAAATATTTCGGCTTTTGTTTGATAATTTTCATTTATAATATATATTTTATTTTAACCTCTATTGTGTTGTATTATATTGCACTGTATTGTTTTTTTTTCTATGGATTTAATTTGTAGTACTTAGTCACACTGGTATCTATCAACATGACGTCATTATGTCTCGCCCAGAACTTGTAGTCTAGCTATTACCCATACATGTACCTCTACCGGTGTTATAGACCTTGGGTCCATTATGGTTAAATTATTTATCCATCATGCATTTTAGTGGCAACATTATAAGCGAGAGTGATTTTATAGGTGTTAAAATGGATGACATTCACGTGCATACATACAGGGGGTATTGTGTATTACAAGCCGTAACTATTGTGTAATTTTAATTAGATTAGTTAAAACTATCCAGAGTGCTGGCTAGGGTCAAGTGAGAGAAAAACAACGATAGAGGTAAGACTTTTTAACTGATTCTAATTATAATAATTGAGTAATAACGTTGCATTGTTCTGTCGAGTTAATGACATCGCCTTGGTGAAACAGCCGTGGTTCCCATGTAGAGGACGCAGGGTTGTATATTATCCATATACTGTCACAGTATCTGTCTATTGCAAGTTGTTTTCCCTCTGATTCGGAGAATAGAGGAAACTACTTCCATCTGATAGTACATGCTTTATTCATACTTTCTTCACCATAATAATAATAATAATAGTAATAATAATAATAACAGTAAGAGTCTTTAGTTGAGCAGCTTGAGAAATGGCCCTTAACTTAGGGCGTATTCCCAGAGCTTTTAGATCGATCTATCCCCGCGGGGAGTCTCACCAGATTACTGTCAGATAATCCGGCTTAAATGTCCGTCCCGCCTACTACAAGCTGTAAGGGGGTAATTAACTTTCGTGCCCGCTCGGCTGACAGCTATTTAGCGTGAACCCCTGGCCCAGGGAGTTAGGTCGATCTAGTTTGGATCGATCTTATCTCTGGAAATGGGGTCTTAGATCAGGCTTCAGTCCCAAACAAATTCATAGAGCGTTAATAAGACTCTCAGTGTAAGCTGGTAAACCTGTTCCGCTAAGGTAAATTGCTTGTTATATATGAAGAAGGTATTTGTCAAGGAATTACATAGAGCGTCTTGTGGTATGTTTTGCATTAGAATACAGGCAGTGTATTTTTTTAATATTGGGTGGGTGCAACAACTCATTATTTTACCTCTGACAGTAAATTTTCAGTCTCAATTTAGTGCCTGTTTTTGTGAGTTGAGTAAAGATTTACAGTTATAGTTATTTATATGTATGTCATGCAGGTATGTATGGCATTAATTGTGACAAATTCTTACTTTGAATTAGTCTTGCAAATATTATGCAATCACATTTGTAAAAAAGATAAATAAATAAATAATAATAAAAATAATATATAAAAACCTTAGGGACAAGTCCAACCCCTTTTCACGGATCTAGTTCGCCCCGGTCCAAGCATATTTGTCACAGCGGTAACTCTGAACATCAGAGGTAGATAATTTGCTGTTAATTGAGAATTTCGAGATAGAAAAGACCTTTAAAGCTTGTAATATTTCAGAGAAACTTTGATTTTGTTTGTGTTGTTGTTGAGCTCAGTTTTATTTAAGAAGTTGTCAGAGGTGAAGGTTTTTCATATCTAATGAGGAACCGTAGTCTGTTACTTTGCACAGGTGACATTGTTCCCATGTACTGACCACAATACTCCAACTAACCCCAACCTGTGGTAATCATGTGGGACCCTTGTACGTCCATTCCAAGGCCGATCATTCCTGTCACACCGGTGTATTTACATGTATACTTCATGTTGAAAGTCAGAAAGGGATTAAAGCCTCCCAACCAAGCCTTTGTTTGCCCCAGCATAACTATGTGAAAATATGACTTGTAGTATGGCTTTAAAGGCTCCTTTTTGAAGATTTAACGTCAATATCAAGGAGTTGTATACTCCGTGGTCAACATTTAAAGTGAAAGTGCCTTGGAATGTAAGGCTGGTGAGTTAGGGGCCATTCAGAATGAGAAGAGCCGAGTGCTAACTGGTCCACGGCCTAAATATTGGGGAACTACATGAAAGGAAGACAGCTTAATCCTGTAATATAGTCTCTCCACCTCTCACACGCATCTCCACGCGTCGTCCCTGGGCCCCGTAACAAAAAAGCATCGCGTGTTGCGAAAAGCGATCACAAAGAGGCTACAGTGTATTACATGGGGCGAGTATGGGCCTGTTATGGAATCGAGACGCTTGCGCTCGGTCGCAATACGCGATGCTTTCGAGTTACGGGGCCCTGATCATAAATAATCTACCAGTTAAGGACAAGCGGTTTTTCACCTTTCACCATGTGATATGGGATATCTGTTTCACACATGTATTGTAGCACGGTTCATGTATATTTTTTGCAATTCACTTTCACTGCGGGCAAGTTACGCCCCTTCACCCCCATTACATATACCGGTACAAGCAAGGGAAGGGTCCGCTTTTCATACAAAAGAGAAGAGAATCTGCTTGGCAGGGAAAAAATCCATAATTTGTCCACCATTTTGCCTGGCGTAATGTTGTAAGCCGCCATTGGAAACTGGTGATATATTTAAAGGACTTCGGGCACGAGACTACAGTGGATCACTGGGCCAGATTTGTGTAGGAAAAAAGTCAATTATAATCCAGTCGATTCGGATTCGTGGAAAAAAATACACCGGGCTATGGGTGACGTGGTAAGTTATTTACAACAGGGCCATAGAGAGCAACATTGTTATTTTTGTAAATAGGGTACTTAGGAGATTGAAAAAATACCAAATACATATCAAGCAAAACTGGTGTTTATACTCCGTACAAAGTAAATAAAGTCTATTATTGCTCACACCGTCCTTAACTTTGCGTGGTTTGAAGAACCGCCATTGTTAAGCAGGACCCCGTAACTCGAAAGCATCGCGTAAATGCGAATAGCGATATCACATATAGAGGCTACAATGTATTACATGGGGCGAGTATGGACAAGTTATATGGAATCGAGACGCTTGCGCTCGGCCGCAGTGAGCGATGGTTTCGAGTTACAGGGCCCAGGGCTGGGTTTAGGTCACGAGTACTTTGTCAGGAATGTTTAAATCGTGTGACTGACTCGATCACTGTGAACAATCGCATAGGCACGTTACCCTCAAACAGGGCCGCAGTTATTATTGGGGACATTTTTTGCTGAGCCATCTATTTAACCAGAGGTACATTAATATCTAGTGAAAAATGAATCTGTGGCCCTGGTACAGGGTATATGCATGTCTAGGGATTTTATGTGACAGTGGCGATATAGGCCTTCTTCTTTTTTTTTTTTTTTTTTTTGGGGGGGGGGGGTTAGAGGCGATTTTAGGCAAAATGCGAGTAGGGGCCTACTTTCTCCCTGTATGTACGTCTAATATTTACAGTGCCGCCCTCTCGTCAAATAGTTAATTAATTTCCTATTATTGTCTGGGCAAAGCGATATAGTGTTATAGATTATAAACAGGATTTGACCGACTGCGTACATAATATAAACAAGTTGATAAAAAAGTAATCTTATTTAAGTATTTCTCGAGGCACAATCTAGTACATTTTGCTACATCTGAGACGCAAGAACTTGCGTATACACGATTTTAATTTGTTCTCGCTGTTCTGGCGTATATCGCTCGGGTGACAGTGTATCATCTCCCACATAACCGCAATATAAGGCCCCATTCAGAGTAGGGGACTAACTAATCCGAGGGTCAAATATGGCCGACCCACTTGAATACTTCCCCACGGGATATCTATTCATTGTCTAATAGCGGATTAGACGACAAGCTTTATGTAGTGTGTTGCCATGTTTGGCCCCCGGACTAGTTAGTCCCCTATTCTGAATGGCCCCTAGAAGACGCTATTATAAATATGCAGTTACCTGGCAGGGCAGTATTAATATATATATATATATATATATATATATATATATATATATATATATATATATATATATATATATAGCCTATATGAGATAATGCAGGAAACCATTTCAAGATGACATATGAACCAAATACATTTCCATCTGGCGTAGCTTCATATTATCCCCATGCGTTATTCTTAAGTGATATTCCAAACTGTGTAATTCAATTTTCCGCACAAGGGCTCATGAAACGGTGTGAAAAATGAACAGTGCCCTACGTGATAAAAAATGAAACCGTCGTTCCACGTAGATAGATGTAACTCAGAGGGGACTCTCGCTGAATGCAATTAGCTCATGCACAGACTAACAGTAGGCCAATTTACAGAACAAGGTAGGCCTATTCGGCATAATAAAAAAAAAAACAAAAGTATTTTTTTTCCTGCGATTATATCCGAGACAGCAGGGCCTACACACTGAATATATAGGCCTACATATTAAATATCTCTACCTGTTACAGGCCTACATCGGAAGATGTATGAAAAAATTACATTGCACACACATTAGGCCCTAGGCTATGTCATAAAATGGATTTATGTGTTAATGAAATATTTTATAACGGTTTGGGGAGAGAGGCAATACATTTTTCTCGTGATTTTTTAGCATATAACCCAGCCTAAGGCTTGGTCCATATAATATTGGTTTCATTATTTGCCAAATGCCTGGATCTCGTTTGAACTAAAAATAGGGGTGGAAGGTCAGTGAGACGCCCCCCCCCCCCCCTCCTCGAGTATAGATACAAACTAGGCTTCCATATTTGGTATTCCGAGGATTTTAAGTGCATATCATATATCCATTTAAAAAAAAATAAACATTTGACTTAACGATCCGATGAAGCTAAAGGGTGGCCCAAATTTCAACTTCATCGATAAAATTCACCTAACCTGCTCACCGTCCTGTGTAAAATGGCGGGGTTTCGGATGAGAACGGGTCCATCCTCGTACGTGAGAGCGAGAGGTGTGTTCTTACACTCTTTTTCTAGCTGTTTTCAGATCTGGTAAATGTTTTCAACTTTCCATTGATAAAATTGCAGATAACATGCATATACAATCACGTTAGAGGGAAGAAGTGTGCAAATAGTGTTCAAAGCGAAATTCTCTAGTGTCACATGATTCGTGTCACGTGATATTTGTGCACCGAAAATCGGTTCAAGGTCAATATTCAAGGAAAAGCCTTAGTAATATAGAGGTACAGCACGAATTTAAGATTAATAACTGATATTTTTGAGTGAAAAGTGGTCACCCTAATTTTGAATTACGACAGAAATTAGATTCGGAGGCGTTACAGAAGACTGACTTTTTTCTGTTGATGTATTATCTCTTGTTTTTCATGTCTTTTCTGTAGCTTTTTTCAAGCAGATCAAGTAGTTACCCAGTAATTCTAAGTCAAATTTTGCTTGTAAGCTTACAGGCTGCTTACACTGCTTTGAAGTAATTTTCTTCAGTCTTACACGTTGTTAATTGTATTTTGTTGGGTTAAAATGACTACATGTTAGTAGCCTATACTTAGTTAATTCCATTGAATATGAGGTTTTCCATGTGCACGTTGGCAGTCAGGATCGCTATTCACACAGTTTTCTGCCTTACATTCTAGATAGTTAGTACCCTAGGTCACTTCGCAACATATAAGGCCAACAACTGAGGAAATATTCATTGACATAAACAATTTTAACGCCAGTTAAAGTAGAGCTTCCAGATGTCTTAAAATTGCACCATGGGTGTGAGACCTTCAAAAAACAAATTATCCCCCCCCCCCGGGACCCACAAGAAATTGAACGTCTCAAGTGCCCCGAAATTACCAAGAGACATCATGCTCAAAACCGTTGGCAACATTACAATACACACGTGTATCAACCAGTTTTTAACTCCGCCAAGAAAGTCATGTCTTGCCTTTGTTTGTTTTTTTAGTCGATAGTCTGGTAAAAAGCCCGGAAAAAATGTTAGGATATTAGAATTTCAAGGTTCAGAATTGGGCTAACTTAGAATCAAGCAAAGCATGGTCAGGCCTACCCAACTACCAGACTCGGCACCGAATGATCCCGAATTTACCGGTGGATCGGACCACACTACCCGTTTTCAAGGTGTGCATCAGTACGCATTCCACAGTAGGCTATCATACCCCGGAACAAATTTTGAGATGAGATGCACTACTTTCCAACCCCGCTGAGAATTATCACTATCACATCGCGTACTAGGCAAGAGCGGTGTCGCGATTGATACTTCGAAGCGCGTACTGACGCCCACCTTGAAAACAAGTAGTGTGGTCCCATCTAGCGGTGAATTCAGGATCATTCGGTGCCGAGTCTGGTAGTTGGGTAGGCCTGGGCAGTGATGGTGGTAAATTGGTAATTCATTCAGCAGCAAATTAATGTATGTACCTTGGTGATTGTAAGGTACCCCAGTAGAATTGTTGATATTTCCAGGACAACTTTTATTATTATTATTATTATTATTATTATTATTATTATTATTATTATTATTGCTTTATAAAGAAGTAACGTGCAATATTTTTTCAAATTATCAGCCATAAAATCAGGCCCTCCAGGTTATACTGGTACGCAGGGGCGGATCCAGAGATATTTTCTGACAGTCTTCCAAATTATCTTTGTTGATCCATCTTCCATTTTTGACCGTCTTCCGACAGAAAACATTGTAAGACAATGTAAACTTGAAAATCTGACCGTCTTCTGGAAGACCCAGAAGACGGCCTAAATCCGCCCCTGGGTACGTCTGAGGGTTGTGCGATGGGCAAAGCTTAATAAGTTTGTCTTCATGTAGTGAAATCATTACAAACAACTACTTCATCACGATCAGTGTTTTCGTATATATTCTTAACATGAATTTCCATTCTCTTTGCAGGATAAACCAAACATGACAAGAAGTGTTGTGAAAATCAATTCAAATGTGATCGTTGTCGTCGGCGTCATCGCGGCGGGACTTGTCCTTATCGCCTCACTTGGCTCAAAGTTTAGACCCCTCAATGTGTCCTGCCAAGGAACGACCGCCATTAACGTCGCAGGCGGCCTCGTATCGGGAGGAACGGCGGATTTCGGCGCAACAAGTGGACGAAGATTCCAAATGAAAAGAGTCCGCGATTTTGAGAAGGACAAGCGGGTGGGATATCGACCGCCGTCGACGTGCACGGACTATCACAAAAAGCCCCCTGCGACGCCTTGCAAAAAATGGGTGGTCATCACGACGATATTTGAACCGTCGGAACTGGTCAAGCAGCTCTCCGAGATAACGTCTTGGTGCGTCGTGGTCGTCGCTGATAAAAAGGGCCCGGAGAAATATGTCGTCCCTAACGTCAAATATCTCAGCGTTTTGGAACAGGAGAGTTGCCAGTTCCACATCTGTAAATTGCTCATATGGAATCACTTCGGTCGGAAGAATATTGGATACATGTATGCCATACATCATGGAGCTGAGTACATCTATGATACGGATGACGACAACGTACTGCGCAGGGCCAAGATCCCAGATCCTGCCAAAATAAAGGGCGTCAAAAATATCAACATGAAGGGGACCGTCTGGAACCCGTATCCTATGATGAGCAAATATCCAGATTCCTGGCCAAGAGGATTTCCCTTGGAGAAAATCAAGTCAAAAGAAGCGAAAACGCAGTCGTTCACGGACGAGCTTCCCTTGGGGAAAATCGGAATCATCCAATCCCTGGCCGATAACGAACCGGACGTTGACGCCATCTATCGGTTTACGCAACCACTTCCTTTTGATTTTCACCATAAGGAACTCTACGTCGCCGTCCCCCAGGGAGTCATGACGCCCTACAACGCCCAGGCTACAATGACGATGTATGACGCGTTTTTCTCAACTTATCTACCCGTGACTGTTAAAGGACGCGTTAGCGACATCTGGAGGTCGTATTTTAACGTGAGACTATTTTGGTACATTGAAAGGAGCTTGGTTTTCTCCGCCCCGTGGGTTGTTCAGTACAGAAACGCTCACAACTGGTTAGCAGACTTTGATTCTGAGAATGACCTATACATGCGTGCGGCGCAGTTAGTGGAGTATTTAACAAACTGGAAAAGTTCGGAAAAAGACATTGCGTCCATGTCAATAGAGTTGTACAAAGAAATGTATAACCATCAAGTGTTACAGATTGACGATGTTTATAATATTGAAGCGTGGTTTAAAGACTTGGAGTGTCTGGGGTACAAGTTCCCTGCGATTGTGTCAAAAGAATAACGAGGGTGTTGTTAGCACAGTACAGGCGCATTTTTTTTTTTTAATCATGGCATTAAAAGTGCCATTTGACTCTTAAAACATCTCTGAAATGTACGAGAACGGAAATTTCCAATTTGTTTGGCTTTGCAACAGGGTTTGTGGATATATCATTCTGTTGACAAAGAAGCACGTCGAGATAAAGACCCCTTTTCACAAGACAGCGGTAAACTTTTCCGTTTCGCCCCGTCTTGAGAGACCGACAACTTTGAAGCACAACTATTACGAATGATACCCCCCCAAATGACAATCTGAGTTGACTAGTTAAATTTTAATTGAAACATCGGGGCGCGTGAAAGAAAGTGACCCCCCCCCTCTTTTCCAATAACATCATTACATTCTAGGACCAGAAAAATTATTGCTCCTAAATTGTTCTTGTGAAAAGGGTCTTAAGCTGCGAAAAAAGAAATTACTTATGAGTGATTCTTTGCGACATAGCTTGTCAAAATTTCACTCCGTTAAAGAAGTACGAAAACGATGGCTTCGTTGGAGACGTAACAGTTAGTTTCCAAGTAATTTCTCTCAACAGACTTCGCCGTAATAACCCCATTCTCCATAGAGGCTCAGGGACAGGGAGACTCAGGGGTTGGGGTTGGGTTTAAACGAACCGCACTTTTGCCAAGGAGAGATTCACTTCTGAATCAAATTTGATCTAGGCTCTATGCCATTTCGCGGCAAAAAATCTTATGTGTAAAAAAATAAGGCCATTGGTATCTTGGAGTGTTTCGTAATGTCCGGATGTACGATTGTATATTACATTCATTTATGTTAGATATTTATATTTTTGCAAGTTAAGGTCAATTTAACATGTGTTGTGTAACGTCCGTTACAGCGTGCTTCGCGAGATTTTCTATGGTGTCATCGTTACTACATTCCAATCAATGCAGCATTATTGTATTTTTTTGTATTAAAGGGTGTTTTATATTGATAACTTCTGTCTTCTGTGGCGTTTTCAATCGTGATATCTTCCTTTACTTCTTTGCGGAACAAATATTTTCCAACGTATTAGGGGGAAAACGGTCACCTTTGTTCCTTTTTTTAAATAGTTTTATTGGCATCACAAAAAAAAAAAAAAAGTACATGTACAATAGATAAAGTTTACATTTACACATCTTCGTTATTTTGACTGAAATGTATTTTGACCTCATAAATGCATATATATATATATATATATATATATATATATATATATATATATATATATAATAACCGTATGAAACCAATGAGCTGTATCTACGTGCACAAAGATCAAGCAGTTAACCATATATAAACCACACATTTGGCCACAAATATACCGGTAATGCAACTTTAATCAAATGGGAATTTTAGCTACCCTGTAACTACAGGGAAACGTGTACTAGTACTTCTTTAAATGAACCGTACAATGCATCTATGTTCATTCAGTAGACCTTAAAACTTGCTTGCTAATCTTCAACAAAAATCGAGAGATATTTTTTAAGTATCACTAAAACGTAATGAAGGGCATCTGCAAGATGTTAAGTTCATCATAATCACCTCGTTGAACATGTGTGAGAAATAAATAACACTGATAACGCATCTATATATAAAGTTCAACTAGGATAGATCCACCCCTTACTAGTGGTGCGTGAAGCAAAGAAAGTGAGCAGAAAACATCTGTTCAAATATCACAGTTTTGGAAAATAATGAAACGAAACCCTGTGGTATTGGTTTCTTTTTTAAAGTTATATATGTAGCACTTCACGAAACAATGTGGTGGCATTTGGCCGGGTTTGGTGGAAATGATTTGACGTGTCTGCTGGTACTTGGGCTATGCATATTTCATCTGATATCCATATGACTGCTATCATAGCTAAATATGGTTACTATGGCAATTGCTGGTAATTATATTCATGAAGTTCAAACACCATCCATAATTCCAATATTTTATTCATTAATCACATAAAAAAATAAGAATTAGAAATAAAAATAAAACGGTAAAAATAAAATTGACAATAACCTATCTAGATCAACCAGAATTGAGTGCAAATATTAATTTTGGGTAATATTAAAAATTAACTTTCAATTGTTCAAATTTAGCAAGCAGCCAGTGTTCTTATAATGACATAGATGATGAGATAATACCTGACTAATAATAATAATAATAATAATAATAATACAATAAAAATATTGTAATGCTTTATAATAAAATATACAGCTATGCACGATTTGTTATTCCTAAATAGAGGGGGGATCACCATTTTGATTCCTTACATTTACACTGTATTTATCCAAAGTCAAAATAAGACAATACAATCCATTCACCCAGAGAAGACATATTTGGCTTCAGTTTCTTCTACTGGATGGGCCAGATTGTCATGCCCTGTCCTTGCTGGGCCATACATAGAGGACACATAACCACCACTTAACGAGGGTCCCACATGGGGTACCCCAGGGTCTGGCGTAGACCTGTGCTGCTCATGATAAATAGGGGGGTTTCCAGAGGGGGGGTTCCCAAAATATCCCACATGTTGATAGTCACCTCCGTATTTTGGGGCATCAAAGTGGGTCCCATACTGGGGGGTACTGTAACTGTAGCCATATCTTGGGGGTTGAACGTGAGGGCCGTACTGCTGGGACCCAAAATGGGGTCCGAATTGTTGGGAAACGAATTGGGGGCCTTGCTGCTGTGCAGGGTACAAGGGTCCATATGGCTGGGAGTTGTGGAAGGATCCATGCTGATTGGTGCCATATCCTTGAGGGCCATATGAAGGACCATACTGTTCACCCCCATAGTAACCATCAGTACCAGCTTGGTTGTTGAACTTTGACCTTTCATCTGGGACAGTCTGACTTTGAACATTTGTCGGATCCCCTCCAGGTTGCAGTGCCGTCAGTATATACCTACTCCCTACAGTGCTGCCCTCTCCAGTTGCTGTATTGACCCCAGCTGTCACATGACCTTGACTTTGGAAATGACCCTGACCTTGGGTCGCATGCTCTTGACCTTGACCTTGGGTCTGATGATTGACAGGGTTCCCCCCACCGTAAGCATGTTGAGGATTTCTGAGTCCAGGAAAGAAGTAGAAGTCCTTTCTCAGCGATGACCGGCATTCTGAAACTTGCTTGTATTGACCATCATGGGTTTTTGCTTTGGCCACTAGATTGTTTACCTAAATTTTATCACAATGAAGAAAAAAGTTAGAAAAACATTCAGCTGAAGAAAGTTTCTTGATCACTAATGTTTAGTGGTTATCTTGAGAGCATGGGGTTCATCCTGCACTGGGACAAGGTGGAATAAACCTTTACTTTGTTTTTTCCAATTGTTGTAAAGGTGGGGATCAACAATCAGTCTCTTTTACATACAACCTGAGAGGTAGCTTATTCAACAAAGTCCTGCTGAATCAAATTTTTCCTTGAAAGAGAAGCAATTTTCTCTTACTCAAGAACACTTCTTTGCACTTGGATCTCATGTGTTATACCATTTCTAATTAGCAAAATCATTCACTTCTTTAAAAAAGAGCACTACATCACAGTTTTTTTTTTCTACACTGTATGCAGTATCATTTCATTAAAAGTAATACAACAACTGTTATGAACCTTCTCTTATTACTGCCAAAGGAGAGGCAGATTTCAAGCAATTTCTCAAAAGGGGAAAAAGTACCCGTAGGTTCCTTCAGAAGATTGTAAGACATCCAAGTAAGATAACATGCATATAACCAATATGGTTCTCAATGGAAATACAAAAACACACACACACACACACTTTAAGTTCAATAATTATAAAATGGGAAAATGTTTTGGTTATGCCCACAAGGGAGACTTCTTTCACTCACTTTAGTCATGAGGCTTGCCATGCTGTCCCTGTGGGCATACTTGCTTATCACAAAGGCTAAAGCCTGGATAAACCATGTCCCCTTGCAATCATTTCTCCAAGATACATAATCTGAAAAAAAAAAAAAAAGAAAAATATGCATTATCTAAGTAATATACATCTATAAATAAATAAAATTAATAAATATGCATTATACTTGAAATTTATATTTAAATGAACAAATGTGCAAACAATCAAATAAATAATAGCCAGATAAATAAATATAGATAGGTAAATTTCATAAATGGCAGAATTAATGAAAAAACAAATAAATCAAAAATGAAATCAGAAGGACCATTGTGTAAGATATCAGTTATTTTAAAAGTACAGTGTATATGAGGTAGGCCAATTTTCCTACCTGCAGTAGTTGCCATGGCAAGTAATATGTCTGCCATAGTGGGCACCGAGGCATTGACAGCATCTGGTCTTTCCTGGATCCGAGAGTTTTCCAGCTGCGTTGTTATTTCTTCTATTGCATCACGTTCACCGTCCGCGTTCTCTTTTTTTGTCTGCGATCCTGGTCCATCTCTTTTATCTGTGAAAGAGGAAGCAAAATACAAAGTCAAAGTATTAATTATGATAGTGTGACTCACATAAATGACATGGTGGCTACTGGTTTTTGAACCCAGGTGTCATTTTGGATCCCAACTGAAAATAAAACTGATCTAACTCTCAGTGGAAGGCACATCAACAAGAAATGAACATTTAAAAAACTTGGTTACTTAGTTCCTTTATCTTTTCAGTGGGGGAAAATTGTGAATTTTTTTACAGATACTGTATTTTTACGCATAATTTCTTAAAATCAAAACACAACTTTTGAGTATTAACAACAAAATTAAGAGCAGATTGCTCTATAGTATTATTCTATGCAAAAAAAGTGCCACATATGCTATACAGAAATATAATTTTTGTAATTATAAAAGCATGTATCTGAAAAGATCAAGTACAGTTGTAATTACTGTACATATAATAAGTCAGAGTTATGGAAACAATACTTCAATATTTTATAACTAAAATCACACTACAAAGAAAAAATGTTCTCTCTTGTATAGTGCAAAACCTACCTCCCTGACAAGCCTGAATAAAAAACAGCTTTGGTTTGTCTATCAACAGAGGACAGTTAATGCCATTAAATTGTTTGAGAATCTCTTCAATTTCAACATGTTTCCCATCCTCCCCATAAATCTTCCCTTTGGCTCCGTGGCTAAGGATTACCAAGATGAAGGAATGATGTGATCTGTGTTCTTGTCTGGATGCAACTTCTTGAAGAGTGCTTCTAATCGCCTGTAAACCATTGATTTTTAAGTTAGGTTGTAGATGTAATTATATAGTTGGTATATGTAGTTGAAAAGGTTTCCAATTTTGATCAAATGGTTGATGTAATTATTATCAAATTAAATGTAATTGCCTGGCAGTCAAATGCAACAAATCTAAAAAATGTGTGCTTATATTTTTATATATTATTTATAAATAAATAATTTAATAATAATATTAATATTTATAAATCAATAAATAAATAAACAAATAACAGTAAAAACACATTAAAAATATTTTACAACACTCACTGCTGCAGACAGGTCTGTCTTGCTCTGGACGTTGTAGTCAAGTTTATGAAACAACTTTTCAAGTTTTTGTGCATCTAGATCTGATCCTGTCCTGTCAGACAGCTTGGTATCACTAAATTTCACATTGTTAATTATCAGTGCTATTCCCCGAGGATAGGAGGTGTTTGTGTAGGCCTGCGGAGCAAAAAAATAAATAAATAAATAAATAATAATAATAATAATAAAGATAAAACATGTACATGATGGAAAAAATAATTAAATTTTACTTAATTTTTTTAAATATGAAAACTTGTAGTTTTAGAATGATTATAGTAAATATGACCTTTCTTGATGCTAACATCCAACATTCAAAAATGTCAAACAAGAATCATAGTTTTTATACATAAGTCATAAATTTCTAATTTTTTTTTCTTTATTGAGTGTTTAGAATACATATGTACATACTAGTACATACATACAAACAAACAAAAGAATGTCAGAGTTGAACAGTAAACAGGAATCTACTTCATTACTAGTAGATTAATTTACATGAAAAGTCACAATCAACCATTACAAATAATAAAAGTGATGATGATATTTATTAAATAATATAAGATATTAAACAAACACATACAACAATACAAATAAAAACCTAGCATATATATATAATAAAATTATTACTGTAACCACACTGACATCTATATGACACCTACATGTATGTGCTAGTATTTAAGTGAGCAATAATAAGGAATGTTATATATATTTTTAATTATCAATGTAAAAAAAAAGAAAGAAAGAAAGAAAGAAAGAAAGAAAGAAAGAAATGCTCTACAGAAACATGTTTAGTATGAGCATAGATCTCAGATGGAAAACAAGAAAAATACATGTTGTACCTTGTTAGGTTTTGTTGCAAAGTTCTTTATCCTCCTACTCGTGACCTCTTTTAGATCCTTGTGTATATCTGGTCTCACCGTCTCCTCAGTGGGAAAATCTGAAAATGGATAACATTGCCTCTATTTGTTAGTATGTGAAATCTGCATTCACAAAAGTATGACAATAATTAATTCTGACAAATTTTAAACAACACACAAAAAGCATTGCAGGTGAATAAAACCATAATTCAAATAATTTTACCATGGATATTTCAACTCAATCTCTTTGTTTAATCACAAATGAACACCTTTTTCAAAAACATCAAGTTGGAGTTTGTAAGAAAATTATTGAAATTTCCAGTATTTATTTATTTTTTGCTTTGTAAGTACTGGTAGTCGTGATATTCAGGCCCGTAGCCAGCAAATTCTAAAGGGGTGTTCTTTTTCTGAAAAAGTGGACCTTTTACAATGAAACTTATGTGTGCCTAGATAAAATTTGACCCAAAATGGACCTTTTCCTGACAAAAGGGGCAGTTCTTTCGAACCCCCTGAACCCCCCTGGCTACGGGCCTGATATTATACTATATGTCTTTAAGCACCACAAAAGCACCCCAACCCACCAGGTGGAAGCTCCTCTTCCTCAGAGTCGCCCTCTTCTGGAGGATTGGACATTTGTCTCCTGAAGGCCCTGGCTGCAGACTGTGACCGTACCACCTCAGACTGCTCTCCCGTGACATGGAGCTTTTCAGCTAGCCGGTCCTCTTTCAGTTCTGGATACATTAAGTCTGCCAGTTCTGTTTGGTCTACAGATAAGAGACAGGGCATCAACTATTTTGCTTTGTCCATGAATGTCAAAAAAAAAAAAAGAAATCCATTGTCATTGTTGTTGTTATACTTATCTTTCAAACTGAAGCTACCAGTCCTGTGTTTTTCCCAAATAAAACAAATTACTCAATAAATCAATTAATGAATTAATTTATTTATATAAATGTCTTCCCATGGTAATTTTTGTGGGAAAAATGCATTTGTCCAAATGATAATGTATCACATAATGCAATGTACAAAAACAAAAGCATATATAACTGGGGTAGCGCTAGCAACTTTTTTAGCTTAGCCAAATCACCACATTTTGTCAATTTATCAAAATGGCTATAATTTGACTAAAACAAGTCAAACCGGGCCCTTTATCTTTACGTAGCCAATTTAAGCCAGTTACAGCATTTGGCTAAATTGGCAAGTGTAAGCGCTACCCCAGTATAATTATATTTATCTACCAGTATAATTACATTTACATTTACATTTACTCTGTAAATGTAAATGTAAATGTATAATTACATTTACAGAGTGACAGGATGTGGATCAAAGATTACAGGAAGAGAGACAGAGAGAGAGAATGTGTGTGTTCACATGTAAGTTTGTACAATACTATACTACTGGTACCTATCTTCTTGCTGCAAAGGAACCATTTTAATCAAAGTTCACGCAATCATTTTGCAGTAGTTTTGTGGATACCAGAATATCCCCCCCCCTCCCCCACCTCTCTCTCTCTGAATATGATGCATATGAGTATGATGGATACAACGTTTTGTTTTAGTCAAATAGTCCACACGTGCACGCGTGTGTGTGTGTACGAGAGTGTGTGTGGGGGGGGAGGGGTAGGGGGCTCTCGGTATCCGTCTGTGGTCTTAATTGTGTAATCTTGCCTGTCATCAACAAGGCATCATACAACATGCGGACGGCATGCTTCCCTCTCTTGGGGGTATCATCAAGTATCTTGTTCACCATTTCCCTTTTACTTCCCAGTTCCTGTTGATATGAAAGAGGAACAAATAATAAAAAAAATTATCTAACTTGTTCTATTTTTATCCCTTCCCTTTAAGCTTTCACTTAAACTCAAGGTTTACACTAGTATACCAGTAAAGGATTTGGGTTCAAACCATTTACTACCAGTATGCTACCACATCTGACTGATAAAATAAAATTTGTTTTTATCACAAAATGATAATTATAATTATATATCTTTATAAACAAACAATAATGCATGAAACTTTGGTCATTTTATTCTCACTTGCTGTACTAGTGTAGCAGGCACAGCATTTTATTTAATTAGACAATTAACCTGATTTACATAAAACTGTTAGCGGTAATTAATTACTGAAGGCTGAGAGTCCACGAAAGTTAATTATACCCCCTAGCTGATTCAGTAGGTGTGACAGCCTCTAAAGTTGATAGCAATTTAGCTTGAGTCCCCATGGCTAGACCGATCCTGTTGGATCAATCTAGGCAAGGGAACCCAGTCTAACAAGCCTCTCACCTCTGTACTCTCTTTCATGGTATTAGTGAACACCCCCCACTGGTTCAGGTACACCAACACCTCCTTTGGCTCCACCATGTTTTTGGTTAGTGCCACCCGATGTCTGCGAATTCTGTCACGGTCTACTTCATCTGCCATAATTTGATCAGTCTGAATGAACTAGTCTGAAATAAAATTTTATAATTGTTTTATATATTTGAATTCAGCTTTCGTAACTGATATAATAATTATAATTAAGTACATGCAGTAAAGTTATCTCGGTATATACAGTACCATATCCATGTACTAGCAGGTACGTAGCTTTTTCACTAATTATCTGCATGGCACAAACATTGAATGAATAGTTGATATACATGTACAGTGCACTGTGATTGTTATCTGGTGTGTGTGTGTGTGCGTGCGAGCGGGGGGGGGGGGGGGACAGGGCAATTAAAGTGTCCAAGTGTACCCCCTGTATATACCGGTAGTACTAATATGCCTATAGAATGTGTGAAGATCTAAAATCCGATTGTCCTAATGCAACGGTTTACTTGAAACACGGAAGAATTAGTCATTACAGGGGACTACATACTGATATCGTTATCAAATATAAAACTTTACTAATAACCTTAAATAGCACAGTACCTATGGTTTGTTTACGAAGCACGATTGGTTGCGATTTCGTTTTCTCACTTGCCAACCTCAACTTCACAAGATTAATCCAAGCAACAGAGCAGTGTCAATCTTCCTAATTCACTGCACCGGCTCTGACAACGTTCAATGTATCAATTGGACTGGGATACGAGTATAAGACGATTACCTGACGCAAACTGCGCAGATTTGTTTTAAAGAGTCATCGACTGTCTGTAGGACCCCCCTAAAGATGGCGGCTATTGATCACGTGGGTTATCTATAAATAGACTTGGAAATCCCCCCTGAAACCTACGTTACGGAATGTAGTTTTTTTAAATAGAGGATCGGTGTAGGGTATGGTATTCCTATGCCCTACGGGAGCGGATTCAGGATTATTTTAAGGGGGGACCTCCCCCCTCCAAAAAAAAAAAAAAAAAAAAAAAAAAAAAAAAAAAAA